GCATTATTTTAGTAGGTAGAGTGGATGGCCACCCGTGGGTGATCTAGGGGTTGTTTCTAAGATCACCCTATACTCCAGAATATCTCTTCTTCTAACTTGCGGTTAACTTAAAATTCTACAATTGCACATTCATTATTGAAGTCATTTTAGTTGTTTTTGAAAATTTAAATAGTTCTTATCAGCTTGTACCTTAATTAGCAGGCGCCAGTAATTGACTTTTTAGTATGGTGAGTATTGAGCTCTGGGAAGGAAAAGAGAGAGGCTGAAAAAAACAAGCTGAAGGATAGCTTAACCCAGGACCCACTTTATGTTAAGTAAAGAGGCCATTATAGCGTCATTCTACACATCTTGTTACCTCACCGCTGCTCACCTGAGGAGATTACTGTGGGTTCATTCTAGAAGCTTACCTGTCACCTTAATGACCTGTTTATTGACACTTGATTCTGTCTTGAGAGACTGTGAGAATTTGCATGTTAGATAAATTTACATCTTTGCCTCTATTAGTATTCCTTTGAGAAAGGGAGTAAGATAGTTATTATTGATTGGTACTGTGAGCCTATCTTATACCCTTTTTGTATCTTTTGGAATTGAACACAATGCTATAAATATAACAGGTGCCAAATGAATGCTTTTTAAGGAAATTAGTTTGTAATATTTTTGAGGCTTATATCCAAGCAGGCAAAATAATTGACTATTTTGTTATTATAACTTTATTTAATAGTTTAAGATTCACAAGAAGTTGCCAAAAAAAAAAGTTTCTGTGTACCGTTCCTTCAACGTTAGCACTGTATGTTACGTAACCGTAGTGTGTTGTCAATTCTGGGAAACGCATTGACACAATACTGTAGGAACAGACCTTTTCTGGGTTTTTACCACTTTTTTGAAGCACTTTTTTTGGTATAGTTTGAGGACATTTTATCATATGCAGATTTATGTTTTTTTCCTCCCCAATCAGAGTATAGAACTCTTCCATCAGCATAAAAGAAACTCCCTTATGGGAAACTAAATTTTTAAGAGAAACAAATTGAAAAATAGACACCAATATTATAAGGCCACATTAATGAATTTTAAAACAGTATTGACTCCAAAATTACTTTGATTGGGGTTTAAAATCAACTAAAAAGATGATTGTTATTCAGTTGATTACCTGCAAGTACAGTGTGGGTTTAAAAAGAATCACCTGTTTGCTTTTTTTTTTTGGTCCTGTTGATCAAATTGCAGACTTTCTGTCTATTCCCACGCTGTCATGCTCATCCGCAGTTCCACACAGATGCACGCGTATGAAGGCCACGGTCATCTCTGTTTCCTGGCAGGAGCATCGGTTTTGGCAGGAGCAGTTGAACCTACTGAGTTGCTGGGAAAGATGGGCAGGAGCTCTTGGCTCTTGTTAGTTCCCAGTTGGTTACTATCCAGCAGGTACCAGCAGAGTGACCTGGGCAGGATCAGGAGGCCCTGATGCTACTTTATAGCGTTACTCCTGGGAGTTCTGTGAGTCCGTGTTTGTTCACCTGCCAAGGCAGCAGTCGGGAGACAGCGGCTCTTGTTGAGTGTCCATCTTTTTACCCAGGTGGGAGAGAAAGGGGGAGGCATTAGGTAGTTGAAAATAATTCACACTTTTTCCCTGACAGGCGAGACTTTCCCCTTTCTTCATTCTTCAGGGATAACAGCCGCCTGGACTGGATCTTTTTTATTCAGCTTTAGTTAAGACCTTTTACACTCTGCTTTGAAATGAGGCCGTGAGCCAGTGGCTGCCCCACAAAGATGCCATCCTGCTGAGCCTGATTATTTCCTTGAGCCCCTGCCAATAGCTAGTAGCAGGCACCTTAGAGCACATGTTCCTACTCTGAGTTCCGTTCATCAGGTGTTCTTCTTCACAACCCCACGTGCAGAGGGATCTTTATTCCCCACGTCAGCATTTGTACTCTTGTCCTGGCTTCATGGAATCTCCAAATTAGAGTGGACTTGGAACAAATAAACTACCACCAAATAAGCACGATCACCTGGTCACAATAATGTACCAGCAAAACTTTCCTGTTTCTGTTTCATCAGCTGAGGGTGCAGAGTTCCCACCGCCCTCTACTTGAAAGTTGAGCTAAGTGAACATTGAACATACTTGGAACTTTTAAAATGAAAGCACATTATCAGAAATGTAATTTTCCCTCTTGCTGTTTTGACTCCAACCAAAAGAAAACTATAGCCCCTGGAATTTACATTTTCAGGTACCTTCTGGGATCTGAGGATGCCTGAACCCCTAAAATGCAGGATTCTGAGGGAACGCCAGTTCCTTGTGCTCATAGAAGTGTAGATGGACATAGGATTTGATGACTAGTTCAAAGGCAGCTGAGTATGACTTGGTGGTATTGCTAACTGAGTTCTTTAGAAAATGAGCACAGAAAGTGGAGGCAGAGAAAAAGTATCAGCTATACCTCTTCTACATGGTTATGTGTATTCATATGTAATTTATCTCTAATTGTTGCCATGTGTCTAGTATGTACAGGTACCCCACCCCATTAAAGGTATTGAAATTTGTTGTTATATGTAGATTCTAACTCATTTAGACTCTGCTCTCTAAATAACAGAGAGAAAGGCTTCTGAACAGGCTGGGTCCTTTCAAAAGATGAAGAAACATACTTTTGGGAACAAAGACAATAGATGCGGGGGCTGCAGTAGGAGAAGTCACCATGTGGTTCAGGTAGCTGCTTCATTGATACAGTGGGTCTACTCCTTCTCCCTAAAGAAGCCCTGGCAGCATCCTGTCCTGAAGGAGGGGCATGTTCCAGGAGATTAGGATACTTTGTGCCGCACTAAAAGTCTTCATCTTAGTATTTGTGTAGGTGACTTTTTTCCTTTGGACTTCAGTTTGACTAACTGACCTCTTTCCCTCACATTCTCCTGCTTCCAGTTCCCTCTCCATAGTATCACCAGAGTTAATTTCCTACAAAATTAGGATAATGACATCATTGTCTTTCATATAAACTTGTATCAATTCCTTGTTTTCTATAGGATAAAGGCTAGGCATGCTGTGGGGACACACAGACACTCCACAGTTTCCTTTCTGGTTGCTCTTCTTGCCAGTCCACTGGTTTTCTTAGGCTCCAGTTGTATGGTGCCTCCTCCATTCCCAGAATGTACTGTGTCCTCTTGTGCCTCTGAGTTTCTGCCCACACTTTTCCCTCTGCTTCAGTACCTTGCCCTGTCTTCGTTCCTTTCCTGACAAATTTCTTCTCATCATTCAAGACCTCAGCATTTGGGCAGAGCCTAGCTTCTGCTTCCAGAGCCCTATGTTTCTTACTTGTATTTGAGTGCTAATGATTATAATAGCTAAAATGACACCTATTTACAATTTGCCAGCCACTAATGAAACAGCATTTAGTAACTCATTTGTTCTTCTCAACAGCCTGAGGAGGTAGGTATTTGCATTTTATAGATGAGGAGACTGAGGTACAGGGAGATTTAGTAACACGTCCAAAGTCATACAGGGTAGCTAGTGGGATTTTGAAGCAAGGCACTCTCACATTATGCTTTCAAAAATTAAAATCTGGGCAGGCTCCTCCACTCAATGGAAAAACTATTCAAGAGCAAGGAACCTTGTTTGATTGAATGTTATGTTACTAAAACCAGTATAGTGCCTGTCACAGAAGAAGAACCTTGGAGATATTTGTTGAATGAATGTACAGACTATTATATTTTCATTTGAAACTATAAGCATTTTTAAAATATGTCATTCAGCTTACCCTTTAAATTTTTAATCAATAAGAGGGAATAAATTGTGATCAAGTAGAAACAGCTCTATGTTGAGGTGTGTGGAAGGCGGTGCTGGGAGGGGTCCTGTGTCTCAGTCCGGCCTGCGTTCATCTGCACGTCCCTGTGATGCTCTCATCTGGTGGTGCTCAGCTCCTGCTGGGCATGGAAGATTGAGATAGTGCCTTGCTCATGCACCCTGGGCCTGAGCTCCCTCTCAAAACTCCCATCACATGTACAGCGGATGAGAAGGCTGAGCTCTAGGAGAACAAGGAATACCTACTTTCCCCTCACTATTTTCAGTCAGAACCAGGAGGGGGAAATTGGGAGCCAGGGCTAGAACACACCATTCTCTGAACTGTGCTCAATGTATCAGGGATCACAAGAGGCAGACGTGGGATGTGGAGTGGGGCGAGAAAACAGCTCTTATGTTAAGTGGGCAGTTCACAGGAAAGAAGTTCTCAGATATTACATGTGGCCTTGATAGCAGAGGGCAGCTTGATGGCCCCCTACGTAATCAGTATTTTTATTCCATTAAGAATATCAAAGCTCTTTTTTTTCTGATCAGTCAATTTTGATAAAAACACCTTTGGGGAATCTCAGCTGTAACTAAGATTCCATGAAATGATCAAGGTATACGTGGTGAATTCACTGTTGACCTGTTTTGCATGCTGAGTGAAGACGGCTGGCTCCCTTGGGAGTGAGTTTAAATTCAGGATCGTATGTGGCTTTTGGGGATTTTAGTTGCTTAGCATTACCTATCCTTGTACCACCCCAATCTTTAGTGACCGTTGGGTTCCTTCAATGCCATGTTGTGCCTTGGGAGTCACCATGAACTCTGTAACCAAAGTGTTCAGGATGTTGGCACTTAACTGTCTCTTATTTATTTGACCAGCTCAGCTCTGCTTCTATAATGAACGGTAACCACAGGAAATCATGGTGTGTATCTTTATGTAACTGATGCCTTAAAAATTATGGTTGACGTTAAAGATTCTAATGAGGTTACTTGTCGGAGCAATGCACATTATAAAAAGACATGCGTGTGAAAGGATGGCCAGGGAAACCATCTCATCAGACAACGGCCAGTTCTGTCCTCACCTTGCCTCCTCTGTCTCTCCCTCCTTGTCCCTGAGCTGCCTCTTCTCATGTGTAACGCCAGTGCTCTGTACCGTGTTCTGTTTATAGTGGTTTGAACATTTTTCTGCCTGTGTCTTTCATTGCTGAAGTAACTCACCTCTCTCATATCGACTCTTACCCAGGAGCCGCACTGCAGACTCTTTGATGTAGGTCTTTTCTGCATGGCAGCTAAGGCCCAGCTGTGGTTTTCATTGCATGATGCAACCTCACCCCTTCGGTTATCGCCTCCAGGTTAACCAGAGCCTTTTCCTGCACTGCCCATGCATGTCACGTGCTTTCCCCCAGGGCCCGGACCCGAATGTCATGAGCACTGGGAGCATGCATGGAATTGATGTGGTGAGCATTCTGATACACTGAGACTTAGGGTTCTCTTTGGACATCCTTATGGGCCCCCCACTTTTCTGTGATATCACAAAAGCCACCTTGTCCCTGGAAAATTCAAGACTAGACTGTTGGGAAAGAGACACAAATCTCCTGTTTTTAGGCTTGTGCTGAGCAGAGGCTAACAACAAGGGATTTAGAAGCGAAGGTCAGTTTTCCAAGTAACAACTTAACTGATGATCAGTCCTATAAATTTTCAGCCTTGCATGGATGTTCCCAAAGTCACCAGTATTACGGTACTTTTCGCATCTTTCTGAACAGTGTTACCCAGTTTGGTTTTGTTTAGATTCAATAAATGTTCAAATGTTTATATTTGAAAAAGCACCTCTTAAAGTAATGCCCTGGGAAATATAGGCTTTGGGGTTTGTCTTAGTTTATTGTGTAAACAGAAGTATCACTAATTCAGCTTTAAAATATATAAAATGGTAGTACTTTAACAGGATACAATATATTCATTGAAGCATGTTGGCATTGCATTCAACATTATTGATTAGAAATTGTGACCATTTTCTTCCGTTGAAATATATTTTTGCCTTCGGGCTGTCTAATGACTTTCTTTAAAACTGCTTTTTTTTTTTTTTTTTTTTTTAAAAATGTGTTTTGTTCCCTCTTTTATTCTCAGAATGCACTTTTATAAACATGATTGTCAGGATCTGTTTTCTTACTGCATTTTGTTGTTTCATGTAATTAGATGCTTTACATTTTAGACATAACCTTGGCTGTTAACTGAACTCTGATCATCCTAGGTAGCAGTAAGAGTCCCTAGAGACTCTAGCTTGCCAGGGCCCCTTAGATTGAAACTGTGCAGTAGCAGTTATAATGACACAAAATTGAAGGCCTCCTATCTTGTCTTTATTTTTCCTCATGACACGTGATTTTCTCATATTAGGGGGATTTAGTAGATTGAATCTTTTCCATATTCCCCTTTCCCCTGTTCTATTAAACATACCCTGTTCGCCCTATAGAAACAATTTTCTGAGAGTTATGTGATCTTTTGACCACCAGTATCAAGGTCCTTTGAATGGAAGCATTTCTCTTTTTGAGAGAAGCTTGCATGGATTATAGTGCAGAGCAGGTGATCCTGTCCAGCAGGTTAAAATGCTCGCACTTGATCAGAGCTTTCAGCTGGGGGGGTTTGCTGAAGGAACCAACTGATTCTCCTTTGTAAAGTTCTTGAGTAAAGAGGACCCATTCCTCTTTCTCAGAAAAGCATAGTCCTTCCAGATAAAATGAAAGAATTTCTGAAATTTGACCTAGAGTGGTGGTAAGTGGATCCATACATGGAGACAAAGGAGGAAATCCTAAGAAATCAGCCTCCTGGGGGCATACTGGGTCCTTCACAGAGATGTTTTCGAAGTGAAAGGGAAAACAACTCTAGAGAAAATCAAAGATACGGCAACAGAATTGAAAAGGGGAGCTGCAGGAGGAAGCAAGAAAAAAGAAACTTCACCCCCATGAGCATTAATTTGTGATATTTCTTTCTAAATTTGGACCCAGAAGTTAAGTGGACACCACTGATAGGGTGGAAAGAGCTCTTATTTCTACAGCATGAGCAGGACAATTTTCATAAATAAGTGATTTCCAATCCTCATCAGAAGCAAGTGGGAAAGAAAAAAATGCAGGAAGAGAAATGTTCCAGGAGGTAAGAAGTCATTTTCCTGAAGTAGTTGAGAAGGAAATTAAGAGTGTATACTTGAAGATATGATTGTATAATCATAGGATTTAAGAAGCCCTTACCATTTTCCCTGTTAACGATGACAGTTTGTTTCTAAAGGGAACTTAACCACATCTGACTTCCGTGGGGTTGCTGGTCTCCACTGCCAGGCCATTTTCTGGCCGTTTCTAAAAGGGTGACCCCTGCTTTGTACTTGGCAGACTCATGACTTCCAATCAGCACCATCTCTGGCTCTCTGTTTTGGCTGCGAGGCTGCTGGGCTCTCAACAAAACTCCTAAATAGGAACACTCACACAACTTCCATGCCTCAGCTGTCAGCCAAAGACAGAGCTAAGAAACAGCTATTTTATTCCCTTGGGTAAGAAAGGTATAATTGTTTTCTGTGCTATTTGTCAGAAAGACTTGTACTGGGTCTTTCTCTGTGTCTTTGTAAAACAAAACAAAACAAAACAAAACACAGAAACACCTCAGGATGTCAGAAACAAAGCTATCTTAATTATCCTTTAGCATCAGATATAAATTCATGTGTAACTTTTAAATAATGGCAGTGTCCTTGTGGTGAGTATATACATATGTTTTGTGACTGTGTTTTCTATTCTTCAAAGTGAAGCAGCAGATAAATGGAACAACTGTTTCTTTACATAATTATTGTTTTCCAAGTGTTCTTGGGCCTCCTAAAATCAATACCACGCAGGTTTGCAGTGTTACAACTCTTTGTAAGTATAGCCATTTGAATGAGACCACTGAGGGGACCATGTGCCATTCTGGTTGGGTCCAGATGTGGCTGGGAGAGTGTGTGGTTGAAACTGTAGTAGGTTTCATAAGCTGTTGGCTGAGTTTTGAAGTCCCTCAGAGAAAGAGAGAAAGGGATCTGTCTCAGGCACCTTCATTACCCCCATCTGATTGGCCTGCCAGTGTGGGACCCAGAACAGGCTTGGCCTGATTGTAGAGTCGGTAGTTTTGGCTTCTCCACTGTAAGCCCTTGCAGGTTGACCCAGAGTAGAAAGGCATTGTTAAGATCTGGTTGTCCAGATGTCTCTAGATTATGTCAAAGTCAAGGAGGAGGACAGGGCTGGAAGTGTAGGGAAACAAATGAGTGACCAGGAGATGCCTAAAAGAGTCCAAGGCTAACATTTGGAGAAGAAGGCTGAGACAGAAAAGGTTTGAAGTCTGTACCCAGTAATAGCCCAAAGAAGTCCCACAGGGATTTGAACCGGTTACGCTTTGGGAATCCCAATACACATCTCAACTTTGCTTTAATTGAACAGCTGTTGTGAATAGATGCCTCATGCTTCATCTTAGGAGCCTCTGCCATTCTCTGTGCCACTAGAAGGGCTTCTCATGGGAAGGCTCAAGGCAAGAGTGTCTCGAAACCTTGCCCCAGGCTGCTTCCACATGGTTGCTCTCTCCTTAGGAAATGAGGACATCAGGCAGTTGCTCCCCAGTGTCTATTGGTTATTACTGGTTAGAGATTATTGTTCATGGGCTTCTTAACACAAGTATGACATTTGCTATCCAGAAGAAAGGCACTGGAGGCAGAAGGCAGCAGCAGGATTAGTCCACTACTCTGTTTCCTCAGGTCTAAGTTTTTGTAGGCATGAGAGGAGGATGGCTCAGAAGTCTTGCACCCCCTGCTGGGCATTGTGCCTGGCTTCTTCTCTTTCCCTTCAGACCTGGGACTTCTCTTTTCCCATTCTCCCTTCCCTTTCTAATCACCTCGCCCAGTCTGTCCCATTTTGTGGGTGGTTCCAGAGTGAGGTTGGGGTTTGGTAGAGAGCACATGTTTGAGCAGGAAGGCTGTGGATTGTACACATGTGCACGTGTGTGTATGTGTGCCCACCCACACGTACCACCCCATGCCGGTACATGGCTCTTTGACCCTGCCCTTAAAGAACTGTCAGTCTGTTTTGTGGTCTTTGTGCTTGTGTGTGTATGCATTAAGTAATTATTTGAATCATCTACTCTATCATGTCTTAGTAAACAAGAATTCACTAGAGAAGAGGTGGCTAGTGTCAGTGGAAGTAGGTAAATGAGAGAGTAAGAGTCAGTCAGTCATGACTCTTCAGACAGTTTAGGCTGCAAACCAAAGCAGCACTCATTTGGCAACACTCTGTTTTATGTAGTAGAACTCTGATTTATTACATAAAAGTTGCTGGCAAATGTGAACACTAATTCTACTCTGGTAACAACTGTGATTGAAGTAATTGTAGTCTGTAGACAAGCTGGAGAAAACAAGCATTAGTGGGAAGGTTGTCTTGGACATCATTTCAAGAGTCCAACCGAGAAGAAATACATAATCCTATGGACCTAGAATTGAAAGAGATATTTAGAAGACATATGACTGGGTCCACCCCCTGCCTTTCCTCCAGATGCATACTAAGCCAACCAGGCCGGTGACACTCTCCTCTGCTAAAGAGCAGGGAAAAGGAGAATGAACAACCTCCCGTGGCCACTCATTAAAGTGACTCATGGCTTTTTCTGTCAGGAAATTTTGGTTAATTATTTAATATTTATGAGACTATGTAGCTGCCCTCATGGCAATATAATTTTCCTGGTGTTTCTTCTTTAATATTACCCAAAGTTAATGCTCTAATATATGGAATTACACCAAATGTTAGCTCACTGCACATCCTATTGGGCATTTGAATTACATTGCAGTATCTGATAAGGAGGCAATAAAGAAAATACAAATGGAAAGAGAAAGTGTGAAATGATTGATTCCTCCATCAGGTTTTGTTCCTTTGTAGATTGTGGGTTTTTTTGGCATTTTTCTACAAACAGTAATTGTCACTGTCATTATTAACTTAGTTTTTTAAAATAACTATCACTTGTTCGGTGTTTGGTTTTTACTCATAATTTGATTTCATCCTCACAACAGCCTTTAATAAAGGTTATGTCTTTACCTCCAGTTTACAGATGAGAAAACCAAGGCTTGGAGAGGTCGAATTATTTATAACCAATAGAGTTGGGATTTTAACTTTTCCATTGAACTCTAAAACTTCCTGACTGCTAGTTACTCTTGAGGTCAACTTACAATGCCCACATTTTGCTTTTGATTTACTCATTTGGGTGCATTTCATTTGGATTAAAAGATACAGAATGAAGATAAGAAGTCTTGTGACAAAATTTAGAAGAGCTCTATGAGAAAGTGAGAGATTTCATCATCTGAGTTTCATGAAATTATCTGTGTGTTTCATTGAGAAACCCAGTGTGTAAGGAACTGACATATTTTGTTCTCTCCATCAGCCATATATGTAATTTTCTTTGTCCTCTTAGAAGAATGTTTAATTATTAGGACTAATTATTCAAGTAGATACCCTGAGCCATACATACAACAGCTCTGAAGTCTTTTGCTGCTATTGTTCTTGGAGTCTTCATATCACTAAAAGCTTGAGAAGACAGAGTAAGTATATAGGATTTCAAAGGGCAGTGAGGGCCTATATAGCACCTATCCATTTTTTCCAATTAATTTCAACATGACCCTAATGAGGCATATGTTGTAGCTATTGGATCACATGTCATCAATTGAGCAAAGGCATAATTAGAAGCCTGGTGCTGTCAGAAGGATTAATAGACCTATTGATACAAACCCATAGCTGAAAATTTCCCAACAAAGCCACTTAACCATCTACCTTGGGATCATGATAAATCGATACTGCAAATAACAAAAAGTATCTTCCATTCACAGTGGAACCATTGAAAGGTATAAGAAAAGTGTTTTAAGATAAAACCCAGGGCTCATTGTGATGTTATAATTAGTAACATTGATTAATGACAGAATACAAACTTAAATCAATGATAATGTCTTAGACAATAGCTACTCCAAGACATTCTGTGATAAAGTCACAATGCTGCTCAACAGAATAGGCTTGCTTCTGTTTGGTAAAATTAATAAAACCTACACAATTTATTGAATACTAGCCCCATCCAGTGTAAACACCAAAAGCATCAACATTAAAAAGATAAGCTTTTAAGTACAAAACTCTAACAAGGTAATTTAAATGGGGGCACTGACAGAAGCAAAAAGGCAGAAATCTTTCGACTTTGATCCATTCAAGACCTGGGCAGTCCTGGGGTACTGTCTAGTTTAAAAGACATTGTTTTATGAAAAGATTATTGCTTTCTCAATGATTAATTAGTATCATGCTATTCACACTGAATTCACTATTATCATTAGCCTGTGAAATTTCTCTGAGACTTAAAATTGTATGAATAAAAACATTGATTTCTAATTTGGGGTACAATTGACTCTTGAACAATGCAGAGGTTAGGGGCACTGACTCCCACACACTCCAAAATCTGCATGTAACTTTTGACTCCCCCAAACTGTAAAAACTAATGGCATTCTGTTGACTGGTAGCCTTACTGATAACATAAACAGTCAGTTAAACACACATATTGTATGTTATATGTATTATATATTGTATACTTGCAATAAAGTAAGCTAGAGAAAAAAATGTTATTAAGAAAAGCTTAAGGAAGAGAAAATACATTTACAGTACTGTATGTACTTATTGAAAAAGATCCACACGTAAGTAGACCTGTGCAATTCAAACTCTTGTTGTTTAAGGGGTCAACTGTCCATTGCAAAGACTTGCTTCCCTTTTAAAATTTCTTGTTCTCATAGTATTCTTATTAGTTAGGTGCTTTTACTCCTGTTTTGTAGGCAGCAAAAACTGGGGCACTTTACTTATCCAGTAAGTCCAGATATTATTAAACCTCAAAATTACAAAAACCTCAAGTCACCAAGATGTCTTCCCTCTTTGTTGCAGGTAGGCTCCACAGTATCCATGACTATATGATGCCATCATTTAAAAATTTTTGATTGACTGGAATGGGATGCAAAGCTTATTGATTTTCTAGTCCATAATTAGAAGTGTTCAAAGTTATCTTAATATTATTATTCATTACTGTGTTCTTGTTCTTCTAGAATATGAGAGGGTGAAAGAAATTTGGGGCATCTTCAGGGTCATCCATCTTTAAGCAGATGGATAACTAGGAATTACTACTCTTAGAGCTGAGAAACTTGCCCTCAGCTGATGGGGTCAGGCTCCATGATGCCACTACTGCTCAGGGTCCCAGCAAGGACTTCTGAGGATTAGTAATGTCCCATGTGACGGTCTTTATAGAGCATCAGGGTTAGATGTAAGTTGGATAGGTCAGCTTCCTCTGAATTTTCCCAGACCATTCAACAAACGCATGACTTTTTGTAGGACAGTTTTACCTCCCCCTCAAGTAAGTCCACCCCCATTGTTTTTGCATAAGCTCAATGCCAAGCTCTGTGGATAGCAGATACTATGTCTTATGTTCTTTTTCCTTTCCAAGGATGATGCATTTCCTCTGCAGAAGTAAGGGGGTACAGCAGAAAGGATATTGGGTCTCTGTCCCAACTGCACCACTTAGCTACATAGTCTTGGATTCTGAGCCTCTGCTTCTCTCTGGTTGCAACATGGAGATTATAACATCTACCTTATTTTGCCAAGTTATGAGGACCAAATGCAATAGTATACATAAACTGTATACAATTGGCAGGTATTATTATATTGAGTCGAATAATAGTCAACATTGTAAGACTGTTTAGAATTTGTTGCTCCTAATGCTATGGGAATTCAGCGATGGGAGAGGTCAGTGAGAGCATGAGTAATGGGCCAAGCCACGCATTCAGTTGGCCTTGTTGGCTCCCTAAGGTCTGAACACAAGAGGGAGGATCATTTGAAGAGGCCACAGCAAAAGCATAGCTTTATCATGAGGAATATGCAGGTCGCATTCATGAAATAATGAAGGTAACAACTCATGGTAGCAAAGGGCTTGACTGGTGCATAGCAGAATGTACACTGGGAATAAAACATTTAAAAAAAGAATATAAAGTGGGAGATGTAGAGAGGCTAGGTTTTAGAGGATTTTCACAGCTAGGCTTAAAGTAGATATGTGAGGCAGGAGGGAGCCAAGATGGTGGATGAATGACATATTTTTAATTAAATTAATCTGGCAGCATTGCAGAGGTGAGACTAGAAGAAGAACCTGGAATCACTGAGTTTTATGTATTGATTCGTGTCTGTGGTGCTGTGGGCCTGAACTCTGGTGGTCCGTCATCCTGGTGGGAATTGAAAAGTCTCCATCCAATTTAAATAGGGAATCTCCACAAGAGTGAGGAGAATTTAAATATTGAAAATTATTTCAGAAAGTGCTGATTTGTTCCTCAGCTAGTCTCTTCCCTCTCATGTGGTTATTTCTTAAATCATCTCAGATGTTTGCTGTTGTTGTTGTGCCTAACCTACTTAACATTTCTTTTTCATGTAAATGATGGTCTATATAACCTCTCTCTATCTACACCTCATCATTTTTCTTTTAAATAATAAACTAAAAATGTGCTGCGTGGGCACACTCTGATTGTTAATTGGAATGTCATTGATGAAGCTTGCATAGCAGTATTGTAATTACTCCCCTGTATCATCTTAATTTTTTCCCCCATGTTCACATCTGAAACTGAAAATATCTGTTCCACCTCTTGACCTCAGCAATTAGTTAAGCGATGTGCGGCTGGTTACCTGGGGACCTCAGATGCCTAATCATCTCCATTCAGGTCTGAAGGGAGATCTTCTCAAGCAGCAATACCAGTAGTTAGTTTGTAGTTACAAGAAAGTTCTGGAGCAGTGGTTCTCCAAGGGTGATCAACAGAGGAGCAGTAGCATCTGGGAAATTGTTAAGAAATGCAAATTCTATACTTACCTGGCTGGGGCGATGCCATGATCACAAAGGTAGTTTTCCCAAGGTGAGGCTTAGCCATTGCCCTCTGGACGTGCTGGCCCCTGCGATTTCTCCAAATGTGGGAAACTCAACTGCACAGTTTGTGATAGTGGGGGATTGCGTTTGCATTCTCTCCTGAAAAAAAAATGCAAATTTTTGGGACTCTATCCCAGACTTACTAAATCGGAAACTCTGGGAGGTTGGACCAAAGTTTCAAAAAGCCGTCCAGGTAAATGCTAAAATTTAAGAACCACTGTCCTGAAGAAATAACCATCACAGGGTTGGACAGCCAGACTCAGGCAGGAAAAGGAGCCTTCAGAAAAACCCAGGGAAGTTTAGAGGCTAAGAAGAGAGGGCAATTATGTCCCTCTTGGAGATGGTGCAGACATGCAGAGGAGTAACTGCTAGAAGTGAGATTTTTGTCTTTAGCCCTTTTCCCTTTGAAAGAAAACCTGGGTAGCTCTGGCTTGCCTTGTGCTTTGGGAAGATCTGTCCCCTACGCCCCACTTTTTTTTATTTACTTCATTGTATGTGTGTGTGTATGTATGTATGTATGTATGGAAAGATATGTTCTTAAGTCAGTCTTCAGTAAGGACTGTTGGGTTTTCCTACTCTAGGGTCTTCATTAGATACTATGTTGTTAAACTGATGAAGAAAGAGATATATTTCCCACTTTGCTTAAATCTTACTTGCCTCTATATAGAGAGCCAAATACTGAGATATGCTTACTTTGATGGTTAAGAGGAAATGAGAGTTTATATTTCAACCTTTATCTAATACTGAACATTTATTCCATAAGAAGCAGACCCCATTGAAGTTCTTTTGAAGGTGCCCAATCATGGAGTCCTGCTCAAAACACTAAATTTATCTAAGGTTTTAGTATTACTCTTGATCCATGGACTCCGGGAACCTAGGAATGAATAGTTTATCATCTTACCTTATCTTGTGTCCTCCAATTACTAAGTAATAAATTAACCAAGAACAAGGTAGGGAAAGTCAGTTTTCTACTATCAGGATTAGAACTAGTGACCTTATTTAAGTTCTTAAAACTCCACTTTTTTTATTGGCAACATAATGTCCATAAAAAGCCTATTTTGATATGGGCATGTCTCATCAGGATGGCAATTTAAACTTAAGTGTGTAATTCAGAGTCACTTTCCTTCACAGTTAAATAAAAAAGTGATTCTTTTTCTTGCTCTTGACATGTCTGTGTATCTAGACAAGAAGTTCTTCTATTTTACCCAAGAAGGAAGAGGAGATTGTGTTCTATTCTCCCATCCTACCATGAGCATCAATCATTAAGACAAAGTCTCTGTGGGAAGAAAATAAATCCTGGAAGATATGGCCAATATTTCTGTTTGTTGAATTATGTATTTTATTTCTACAAGATCAATGAACTTCTCTGTGGGTCGTTTCCATTTGGGCAATGAAAGGATGGGGCTTTAGAATTTCCACTTGGTGGACTCTGTGTGAGTCCATGGACTGAAGGCACTTGGAGGATTTATCTCGAAGGGGTCCTGATGAATACTCTGCTGCCACTTGAGAAAAGTAGGCAGGATGTTTCTCCTTGGGCTCTCATGGCAAGTTAAAGAGCTAACAGGGGTGGAAAACAGACTCTGACTGCCCTGGTCCTGCCTGGGCCCCAGGGGCTGGCCCTTCTTGGTCCCTGAATTTCCTCTCCTCCTCCTTCATCTCAGCAGAGTTACTCATGTTATTGTGAGTTCCAGCCAGAGGAAAAACTGCCAGCACCAGCAGCATAATTTACTCCCTCTATTATTTCAGCTCAAAGCTTAGGACTCAAGGAGTGATATGAAACAATGATGAAATCTGCTGTAAATTTGATTTTTAAAAAAAGGTCTATTATGGTTTCAACATTGTTCTCTGTAAATCAGGGGTGCTGCTGAGGTATATTTTTCAGCACCATGCCTTTCAGCATCTTGCTTTACCATTGTTGCCTTTGGGAATGGGAAATATAAGGAGGGAGCTGCAGAGATGACTAGGAAGGTGAGGAACAATGGAAAGAAGTTGCTACAGCCTGATTCTTGATACTTTTTTGAACATCTGCTTCCATTTATGTTGAACCAAAACATCCTCAATGGCGCTGAGCTAACATCTCTTTCCCACACTATTCTATCTTCTTCCAAAGCATAACCAATACTTTCTCTACAAGATGTTTTTCAAGATAACTACCAAATTAACCGCGGAGGCCATGGGATTAATAGGCATTAGGGAACTCACGGTATTCCCAAATGTGCCATCAGTAATTTCACCAGTGAGGGCAATAGTAAAGTTATCATTTGGCCTGATGAAGTGATAGTGGGTTTTCCATAGTTAGATTTGGGAACCAAGGTTTTCTCTTCCTTCCCTTGTCTGAATACATGTCAATCTTGATGACTGTGAATGTGTAATGCACAGTTAAGTCACCGGTGGCACACATGAGGATGTGACTGTCATATTTGCCAATAGAGCTCCCAGTCCTTGATTTCTTACACACACAAACTCTCTCTCTCTCTCTCTCTCTCTCTCTCTCACCCCCCCCCCCCATTTGGTTTTTAGTAGCACATCATAGCAGTGGCTCGCATAGCACAGAGATGCATGGCCTGTCTCTGAATCCCTTGAGGTTTATAGTGGATTTCTGGTCAACCTAGTTCATGTACTTTTTTTTCACAGTAGCTAGAGTAGCTAAGAACACTGGCACCTGTGAACCGTTAGGGTCTTATTCTTGAAACAAAACAAAATGCCATGATGACTGGGGATTGCAGAAGTGTCATTTAGTAACTCTAGGTCTGGATTTTCCTTTTTCCCGGAAATTAATACCTGTGCAAGAGAGCCTGCAAAGAGCAGTGGTAGGCTGTGATGTTTAGCTTTTTCTCCTGTCTCCTTTCAGCACTGGACTAAATAAATTCATGCTGTCTTTGCTCCAACTTCCCTACCTTAGTGAAAACCTAGCAGTTGCCATTTCCTTTATAAAAGAACTATTTTTTCAGTGTTTGTTTTTTGTTCAGTCTGCTGAGTTTGTAAATACAAATGTAGATTACTCTTAATGCCTTTCTGGAGGATTTTCCTCCTATTTGTGATTTGGGAGATGACAAAGGGCATGTTTGACTTGTAATAGAGATGAAGAATGGGTAAATCCAGTGCATGTTGTATGATTGGAGAGCCCCACAGACTGACCCACTGTGGCTCTAGGTGGGCCCTGCATTCCCGTACTGCACAGATTCCTGCCTGTTGAACAACTAAGCATTGTCCTTACAGAAATACTATACTAACTGGTATTGCATACAGTGATTTCCGAAGTGGCAGTACTCTGAAATCCTGTGTCCCACGCTTCTCAAGCTAGCCCTCTCCTGGCCTGGAGGTCCACCTGGCTTTCTATCTGGGGAAAGTATTTTACTTTTCCCCATATTCCCCCCTTTTCCTCCTCGCCTTCTTTATGTTCCTGGCCTGAGTGTTAACCATTGCTTACTGGTAACAGTATACTATGAATTTTCGTTCACAGCTTTGAGATGCTTATGAGGCTTTCCTGCTTCCCACCCAGCCCCAAACTTGGGACTTTTCACACACTGATCCTCTGATCAGTTTGCCGAGGGAAAGCATACGGAAGCCATGTACCAGTTTGTATAGTAGTACCCTTTGGAATTGCCTACTCTCGAACAAAGTACAGTGTGCTGGGGGTTCGCATTGGCTGCTTGACACACACAAAACCAATTAATATGCATGCCAAAGAATAAAAATAAAATTAACCCTTAGAGTACTGCTTCAACGTTTTGGTTTAATGGCCTTGAGTTTTACCAGTTGGGCAATGCTTCTTTCCCTGGATCAGAATGCTGCACGTGAAGTCCATACATAGTCTAGCCAGAACACCCACCAGGATCTTCTCCTTCAAGGCTTTTCTGAGATGCTCCTGGGTCCTTTATTGTTAATCAATTGATGGCTTTAAAAAGGTTCAAAACATGCCACTGTGTTTAATTGAACAAGGGCTCCACTTCCAATGTGCTGGAGGGACTGAGGAACTCTTTTTTAGCTTTGGGTTGTGTCCTCTAAAAGAAAGAAGTCAGTTCTTTAAGGGTTAATGTGAAATTAAGGAATTTGGTAGTGTCTCTTGCTTGTCCTTCCCCCAAGGTGTGTGCATGATCTTCTTTAGATTTTTAGCTCTACTGTTGAATGATGGTAAAAATAATATACATATTTAAAATTACAGAAACAAATAAAAGAACAAAACACTGAATGGTTGAATGGAAAGACCCCTTGGCAATGCTTGCTTGACTATCACAGGGGTAGAAAGACCAAATGTTTTATTTTATGAACATTCATTGTGTCCTCTCCCCGAGCGCCACCACTGCACAGCATGTGGGAGACTTGGTGATGCTTTTCATTTACCCTTTGCTTTTTCTTCTTCCTGTCTAATAGCCCAATAGAATCCTGCCAGAATTTCTACAAAGATTTCACATTACAGATCGACATGGCTTTCAACGTGTTCTTCCTCCTCTACTTTGGCTTGCGGGTGAGTTGGAGCAACACTGCTCAGTGTGACGATGGGGGCGCCAGTCTTGTTCCCAGGGGCCGTCCTCTACTGGCATCTGCTCTCGCGGGCAGACAAAGCTCAGTGTCCCCAGGGGAGACAGCAGACCTGTGTTTTGCTTTTCAGTCTGAGAGAGCCCTGTCCATTTTCTGAAGTACATGTAAATTGTGGTCACAGGGCAGAAGTAGGGATTCAAATAACTATTATACCTCCACTGGCTGACGTTCTCTTCCCTCTATTCAAACAGGAGGGCATTGTTTCCTTAAATAGAACCAAAAAAAAGCTTTCTGACCTTAAACTTATGTTTATCCGTGCTCACTTAGCTGAATCCTGAGACAGCAGTGGAATCGGGGGGTAGAGTAGCAGAATTTGGGGTCGGGAGTATTCTACTACACCCTGTTTATGACAGGAACTGTACAGAGGTGGATTACAGAGATGTGTGTGCACGCACACGTGTGTGTGTGTGTGTGTGTGTGTGAATGCATCCATATATGCTTTATTTCCAGTTATATTTACATTAGCGAGTCTAACGAAGGTGAGATCCCTTAGCCTTCCCTCTGATGCAGTTGAAAATCACAGAAGAATATACTTCTTGAGGTTTCTCCAAGGCTAACATATCATATAGTCATTCTTTAGGAAAAGCTATCTGAATTCTAAGACAAAAATGGCATGCAATTGTTGTAGATACGAAAAGAATGTAACATCTCATTGCAGACCCCCACAGAAACACAAAACATAACCTTCGGCAAGAGTATGTTTTGAATGCTGGCACCATGCTTCTCATTTTTTTTCTCTTTTTTCTTTCCCCCAGTTTATTGCAGCCAACGATAAGCTGTGGTTCTGGCTGGAAGTGAACTCTGTAGTAGATTTCTTCACGGTCCCCCCAGTGTTTGTGTCTGTGTACTTAAACAGAAGTTGGCTTGGTAAGTCAATCTCTCTGCCTTTCTTCTTGCTGATTTCTGAGCCATGGCTGAAATACAGAATCTAGGACTGGGCTGTTACAGAGCGTTGTTTATTAATGTGAACATCTCTTGGAGTTTTAGAAGTTGTTGTTGACAGTTCTCTTCGGAGCACTAGACCACAAGGATCTGCAGTTAGTGCTTCTGGTCATGCAGTTTTATCGCTGTGGAAGCCCAGTGGTCATTACTGTCACAGCCAGGACCTCTATGTTCATGGGTCTATCACTTTTCCTTCAACTTGGAGTCAGCACCGGACAAGTGAGCCCAGGATGACAAGGCCAACTTTCCAGGTAGCTGGTTCAGTGCCCTAGAAGGCTGCCTGCTTCTAGATGCTTCTTAGTGTTATGAAGAGTGGGTCCAACATGGATATTTATAGTTTTGAGTCCTTCTGTGGGGCAGTAGAAGGTAAAGCATCTTGAGTCACCCCTCACCTTGAAGAACATTGAGCTCCCTTCCTGTGTTACCAGAAGAGCTTTTGCTCATGCTGGGTTCACATCTCACTTCCTGTCTCTGCTCAGCATGTCACTTCCTGTATCAGGACTAGGATCATTTGGTGGGAAAAGTAACTAGCTCAGAGGATGACTATAGCAGGATGTAGAGAAACAGCTTCAAGGAGCTCTTTATTGCACTTCGTAGTTTTCTCAGAATATTTCTGCTGCCGTGGGCCTACAGGGGAGGAAGGGAGGCTGAAACAGGGCTTGGAGGAATATTTGTGGGTTCCATCTGTCTTTATTTTCAGAATTTTTTGTCTTAACATGATCTTTTCAAAATTATGTGTATAATATAGTATAAACATTCAAAGATGTATATATAAAGAAAATACGTATCAGCTCTTCTCCCTGCATCCATCACTGTCTGCTCTCTGGGATGCTCAGTATTAACAGACTTCCACAACTTTCCTTCATACTCATTTCCCCACAAAAAGCATGAATGCTCACATATAACAGTGTTTCAGAAATGGTGGTGTTTGTATAAAATAATTGTATCAACTACGTTGTACTGCAGTTTGGTTTTCTTACTAACTAATGAATGACAGACATCCTTTCAGCACAAAATTCCGTAAGTTGTTGTACTACAATTTATTCAGCCACGACCCTAATGATGGACCACCCAATTGTTTTCTTTTTCTACTATGAACAGTGGTCTAATAAACATACTCATCCACATATCTGCACAATTCTATTTCTATAGGTAGTTCCAGATTCCTGGAAGATTCCTGACTTGCTAGATCAAAGAAAATGTGTATTTTAGTTTGTACAGATATTGATGGATAATGTTTCAAAAATGTTGTGTCAAGCAATGCGTTATAATGTTCTTGCTAGCACTGTTAATTTTTTCTATACATAGTATCACATATTTAAGAAATAAGCATCTTTAGTATGTGTAATAATCACATACACACATGTGTGTGTGTGTCCTATAAGGATTCTATTCTTTTCCCAGTTTTTGCGGTAGAATTGTACTCATTTGCTCGACGGAAGAGTCTTCATCTTTGATTTCAGACATGCTTGTTTAGATTGGGCTTTCGAGCCAGCATGTTCAGACCATCTGAGTGGCATGCAAACCTGAGAAATGTCTTCAGTGTGAGCTAAGTGTGCTCTGCAGTCAAGGGTCCCGGAGACCTCAGCGTAGCTGTTAACTGGCTTTGTGACTTGGGGACTCACTTTGCGTCACTTGCCTGTTGTTTCTTATCTGTAAAATAAAGGTTGGCCTAGGTGATCTGTAAGGTGTTTTTTTTTTCTGTTTTTCTTTAGTTTTTAGCTCAGAAAATCTCTTAAGATGCTTGTATTATTAACGGCTATTGGGGAAAACTGGAAAGTTAGTGAAATTAAACCACACACACACACACACACACACACACACACACATACACACACACACACACACACACACACACCCCCACTCCCACCCACTCCCACCCCCCAGACAAAGAGATAAGAGTGAAGGACTAGAGAGATGGGAGAAGGTAGCGAGGGAAGCAAAGTGAGAAAGAGGGAGAAAGGGAGGAGGAAGGAAAGGAAGAAGTTCAGGAGGTAAGAAAGGAACATGGCTTCTCTTCCTGGCTGTGCCCTAAGAACTGTGCCCTTGAATAGCTGCTTTCCTTTTCTGGACCCTCAGTTTTCCCATCTGAAAAATGGGAGGTGATTAAATGACCTTCCAGGCCTCATCCTTCATGAATCTGGATTTTGTGTGAGCGTCCATTGTCCCCTGGTCCCTTCTGGTTCGAGATGATGGAGGCCCCTCATGACTGTGTGGAGACGTCCGTCCTCTGTCTCACTCCATGTAAAGCTGTGGGGCTGAGTCTCCTCTTTGTGGGTGAAATGTGCCCTAGAACATCTTTGTATCAGGAGAACTTGAATGCTTTAAGAATCCCTGCCTTCTTGTGGATGGTTTAATCCTGATTTTTGGAGGTGTGTTCTGATCTAATGAAAATCTATCAGAGCAATCAGAAAAAGGGGGAGAAAAAGGAAAGGGAAGGAAATGAGATACATTTTCCCTTAATTGTGGCTACTCTTCAAAAAATGCTCTAAAATGTGCTCCAATTTGTTCATTAATTGAACAAAGTTTATTAAGCACCCCCTATGTTTCTGGCACTTTTCAAAATGATTAGGACAGTGAATAAAATAGACGACATCCTACAATAGCAATGGGGGAAGAGGAGGAAAATAGGAACCTAATAAATATATTATATAGTATGTTAGGAAGCAAAAATGCTATTGAAACTGAAAACATAGACCTATGACTTTTTGAACTCTAAAATAATAATAATAAAAACAACAGCTAATCTTCCTCCTCTTGTAGGAGAAAACACCTTTAATAACATACTTTTTGTTCATTGGTAACTAAGCCCTTTGGGTGAGATTCAAAACTGGTCTGGCTGTTCAGGATGGGAATCTGGTATAATAATATTTTAAGGAGGTTCCCATGTCTGATTTAATACATGGGTTATTACATCATGAAACAATTATTGTACCAGTGAGCTGCCAGAGGTAAAGTAAACAGTTCCATGAGGTATGGCATATAAAGCAGAAGGAATAATCTCATTAAGTAAGGCATTTCAGGAAGTGCTGCCCTTCTCTCTGAGGTTTAGGGGAAGGTGCAGGCAGCCGAAGCCTCCCCTGGTCCTCCTGCACATGCCGCCGTGAGCCTGCCCTGCCGAGCACAGGGGGCTGGGCTGTAGCGGGCACTTCGGTGGGTAAAATTTAGTGAAGGCCATGACCCCTGCCCTTCCCGTTCCTACAGCATAGGCCACGCCATATTTGGTTTATTATTAATATATGGTTGCATATTATATAGTTTAGTATTTACTTAAATTTTTGTGCATATTAATTATGTTAGTGTATTTGATAGTATCTTACTGATAACAGCTAATACGTATTCTGGTTCTACTTGTTCTGGACCCTCTGATAAGCCCCTCACATACATGAATTCAATCCTCAGCAAATCTATGAGCTAAGAAATTATCTTCCCTGCTTTGCAGATAAGGAAACAGGCTCAGAGAGGTTGTCTTGTCCCAGGTCCCTTGGCCTGGGAGTGGAAAGCGGTGATTTGTCCCAGGCTTGGTCTGCCTCTGTCCATCCTCAGACTGTCCTCTTCTCCTTCTCTTCTTGCCCTTGAAAGATTTGGGGTTCTGAGGACTGGGTGGGGATGACTAAGCTGATTTTGCTGCTTATGTTGGCAACCCTCCATCTCTTCCTACTCACAGAAGGCTTTACTTCAGGCCAGCAGGCAGGGAAGAGATCTTATTTAAGAACATCCCCTGTGTCTTCCTCCCACTTCTTTCCCACGTCCACTTTCTAGAGCTACCACTAGGTCCAGGGGAGCACAGGTGTAATCTGAGTCCTAGGGTGCCTTTGCCACTAGAGGAGATCTGCTTCACCTGGGGCGGGGGGGGTGGAGAGGCAGGCATACAGGCAGACTGACTGACAAAGAAGTGGGGGCGGGGCTGCCCCCGTCCATCCTTAGTTAACAGGGCAGAGTGGATCAAAGCCAAGCTCTGGGCTCCACCCCTCAACTCACATCTTAGCTCAGCCACTTGCTGATGGGTCACTTTGAGCAAGGTCATTTTACTTGTCTTAAACTGGGTTTTCTCACCTGCACAATAGGGATATTAATAGCATTTACCTCATAAGGTTGAGTGGGAATTCAGTGAGGTAATGTGAGTATGGTACCAGGTACATAGGAAGAGTTTAGTGGTCATCCTGGGCCTCTCTTTCTGACCTACCTATCATACTTTAAAGTGCCAGGGAAGAAAACAAACTAGATGGAACCAAAAATAAGGCAGCGGAACGTGAGGACCTCCACGTCGGCAGGCAGCAAGTCGCTGCTTATTTTAATTCCTCGTCCCACGCACCAGCTTATTCATTTTTGTCTCTCACAAAATTTTTATCTTACCTCACTAAAATAAATGTACCTTGAAATGAGAGGTGTATCTTTTTTTGAGACTTGAATAACATGCTCTGGGGAGAATTCTTTTGTTTATCTCGTTCTTTTGGGAACTGTATCCCCCGGGTAAGTCAGTGGGTTGTACCTCCTTTGTGTGTTTACATAGTTTTGTTGACGGTCATCTTGTGTGAGAAAAAATAATAATGCACTCACTGGGCAGTCATTGAATTTGTTTTCCTGAGCACCTACTGTGTGCTCACTGCTGGGATGAGGAACATGCTTTGGCCATGATCTTTCTTTGCTTTGCTATGATTCTCAAAATCCTGTTCCCTCTTCTCTGACTGATGAAATTGGGGACAGGTAAGGAGCCACCATCATTGATCAGTGGTCGAAAAACTAGACCTGGCCTTGGAATTTAGACTTTAGAACCTTCATCAGACTCTGCTAAAAATAATAGAAAAATGAGTTAATGCCCAGTCACAGGGCAATTAAAATGATTAAGGCTATCTGCTTATAAATATATGCCTAGGCAGTCCTTTTTATGTCAAAAGGTGATAAACAAACAAACAGGCTTGTGA